GTGTACCTGACAGATATCTATTATTGGTCTGGTAAACCGGTAAGGCTACCACGAAATGGTGCCTCATTCGGTGCCTGTTGTCGCAACCCCCGGCCCGTCCCCGGCCATTCCCCTTTCCGATCCTCTCCTCTGCTATGCACTTACATACCCTGGTCCATGCGAGGCCCTGTCGCTGAGCGGATCATCAGATTCAGCCAGTAGAAGTTCGGCTCTAAGCGCCGTCACCAGCAGCTGCTGGCCTCTACTATGACCTCAATGCTTCTTGTGCGATATCCTCCCTTTCCTTTCCCACTTCAGCTTTCTTTTGGAAGGGGCGAAATGCAACATCTTGAGAACTGGACCGACCAGGCAGAAGCGAGTCAGAAAGAAAAATCTGTGTGTGTATAGAGTATGTGTGACTTTCATCAGTATACATCAGTGAAGCTAGCAAACCTCCCTCCACATTGGAAGGGTATACTGGATTATCGCTTCATGTGGTAACGTTTCATAAATTCCAAATAACCAGCTACTCTGATTGGATATACAAGCAGATCATCTGTTGGACATTCGGCTGTGCTGCTACTCACGGAAAGTGGCAACGACCTTGAAAAAGACAGTACTAGGGTTCATGGTAACAATATCCGTTGTCTCAGGGAGCATTGCTTACAATCAATATCAGCTTTCGTCAGCTTTCATACTCATTGTTTCATTGTATCCTTTCATCTTGCTGATACACCTAATCTTATCATTATATTACTTGTTATAGACTTCTGTCTATGCTGTCGCTTAATTTAATTTCATATACATCATACCGTGACGGGTAGTTAAGGCTCGACTGGGCGGCAAATGTATTACATACAATCACTTAGTACCTGACTCACGACAGCAGCCTCGTGGCCATCCGCCCAAGCGGGGCGGATTGGCAACGGAAGATGCAACCAGAAATGATTCCAGATCAGTCTCACATCCCCGAAGGGTACAGCATACGTCCTTACATAACGTTTGATACAAAATACGGGGAACTCTTAGCCCCTAGTACTATTTGGGCACTATTGAAGCCCCAGTAAGGCTGCACTTGCAGGGAGACCTGTCGCGTTCCGCTCAGGGCACCCAGAAGTCGCACGGCAAGAGGGTCGAAGTAGAATGCAGTACCTTTTTTCTTTCCTCCCCTCTTCTAATCAGTACCTGGTCAGTTTATGTTGGCTGATAAGATATACTGTTTTAGCGGACATTTGGAGGGGAAAGAAGGAGGAGGGGGGGGGCGCACTTTGACAGGAAGTTAATTCCAACCGTCCGACTCCGACTCCGACTCCCAGGGAGTCAGACAAGTAGGGCTAAAAGCTTGCAATGATTCGCAGTGGACTGAAAGTTACACCGGACCTAGGAAAAGTTTTACCCTCGAATGATCAATGGCCGATCACTATCTTCACGTTCAAGGCGGGTAGGTAAGCATGGCCCAATGCGTCGAAACTCTCATCCGCCCAATCCATCCCCTCTGTTACTCACACAACGGAGTCCCCCCGTGCCTGAATTTCTTCCAACCCTTTGCTATTTTCATATCCCAAGAATCTTCTTTGCCTTTGCATTGCTTCCAGAAGACCAACAACTGCCCCTCCTCAATCCACTCCCCCCCAATTTCTCTGGGTACGACTTGTGCGACGATTTGCATTGCTTACTTAGGTTGTCGGCCCGGAGTGGACCGCAGCGGGTCCTAGGTGGACCGTGGGGTCCTAGCTCTAGGACCTCATGCTGGTTTGAACTTCAGTCGTGCTAAAAGGAACCGACTCTCCCTGACTAGAACCCATCCGGTCTGTGCACCCTCTGATAGGGGGAGTCTGGATTTCAACCCTGGTCAACCCCCATGTTAGCATGGCAGACAAAATAAATTGAAATCGGTCTGCCGCCTCTCATTCGTCCATATAATCGTCTGACGGTATTTTCTCGTGACAAAGTACTATGCAGATCGCATTTACTCGCTGATGACTGGCTGTCGGCATGGGCGTCGACTATTGGTGAGCAGGCCCGAGTCACTTTCAGGCAAAGAATAGAAAATTTAGAAAAGATGGAAAAGAAAAACATACACAGTATGATTGAATAATCATTATTCATCCGGATTGCGCTAAGCACTAGGAGAGCGAGGGAATTATACGGAATTCTCAAATGTGTGAAGTCTATTATGCCATGGACGGAAACTCGGCGTCGGAATCATATTCTGACAACCTTCCTAATACCAGTAAGGTAACAGAAACTACTTCCGAAAGTGGCAATCTAGCTCAACCAGCTGCACCACTCAGTCCTCATCGCCTTTAGTCTCCCTGAAAGATCGACCGCTTTTTGCCGGTGTCAATGTTTCTTCCTATTCCCTTTTCTTCCCTTTTCTTATTTTTCTTTTTTCCGTCTTTTGTCATTTTTCTTTTTTTCCCTTTCCTTTCCATCCCCCCCCTCTCTTCTCCTCACAGGCCACTACTTCCTTACTATCTCCTGATGCCCAGTACTTCTACATTTCCAGTGACCTTCCCCTCATCTCATGCGACCAATCCCCTGGTCTCCACCTTCTTCAGTCAGATCTGACATTCGGTCAACGCCACAAAGCGACATGGACCGGGCAGTGCTGGGAATTGAGAAATCCCACTTATCATCCTGGGGACTATCTCCAGTAGGAAACCGTTGGGATTTCGCCGCTTGATCATGAGCGACATTCCAGTATAGTTTCGAAGTTCTTTCTTTGTCCGCAAGTATGTCATGCGGGCATTTAGGTTCAGCGGTTTATCGATCCGTTCCCCGTTCCGTCAATTGAACCTTGGTTTGCCCTCGAGGGTTCCTCTCAACCTTCCATAACTTTTGTCCAAGCCGATCCCCTCATCTATTCGTTGGTGCCTGGTCCACTCACATCGCTCTTCGTCCCAGTTGCGGGATATATTGCTTCGAGTATGAATGTTCTACAGGATGGATGGAAGATAAGACGCGCAACATCCATCTAATTAATCTGAAGTAGAGGCGAGACAAGCCAACAATGGTCAAGAAAGCAAAAAGAAAGTACAAGCTCCTCTCTCTAAAACAAATGAAAATTATAAAGATGGAGAGACAGATAATAGAAATCGAGCTCTACTTCTTTCAATTGGAAACAGAGGATAGGCAATTCAGAGAAAGAAAACAGACATAGACAAGAAAAGAAGGAGAAAAAAAGGTTAATTGTCCATTCTCGTAGTTGACCTATCCCTTTCATCCATCCACCGTTCAATTGCCCTTTTCGAGTTATCAACGAGATTATCATGGATACCAGGTTCTGCTGCTCCACTTGAAATCGGGTACGGTCTCTAAGTACCCAATGTCCTCTCAGTGATATCGACTAACCAAGTATATCCTGCGCTAGGCCAACGGTCATTGGTGTAGTTGACCGCCAGTGTAACACCAGGAAGCAAAGGAAAATCTCTGCGGTGGGAGGGGAAGACACACCTCCATCATCATGTCATTCTGTCAAGCTCGGGGAGCCTACTGCTGTTACTTACTTTGCCTGATTGCTAGTAGTTAGGAACGGACCATTCGCAACCACGATACGAGCCGTCATGCACGATACAGGATGCTGGCCCGATGTGGTACGAGGCCTTACCATGCGTCTTTAGTGGTATTTGGTCCCAAAGGCAGATCCCTGCTGGTCAATCTAGATCCCTGCCAATCAGCGGCAGTTCCCCCACCCATCATCTGGTTGGGGTTTAGCGTGCCTGCCTTTACTCTGAATTACTATTCGATTTCGCGGCCCAATCGTCGTGCAAGACCTGCGTCTTTTTATTTTGTTATTTTCAATTATTATTTATTTTTTCTATTTTCTGATTTTATTTTTCTTATTTTTCTTTTTTCTTTTTCGACTATTATTTCCCTCCCCCTAAACCTTCCCTTTTTTTTTTTTTTTTTTTTACCCCATTTCGCCCACAGCTCCAGGTTTCTCGCTATCTGGAAATCTGGATGTATCGCATCGTCGGCGGCGGCCTCGTGTCTGGCTGTCCGTAATAATCTCCTTGGATAGATCTGATAGGTTAGGTATCAACGAACCGGGGGGTCCCCTCCTCAAAATCGGTGGGATCCAGCCCTTCGATGTATCTCAGTAACTTAGTAGTAGTACTTAGTTTCCTGATAGGAGGTCCTATCTATCTGTATCGATTCTCATCGGCTGATGCAGAACAGGAAGCAGGTTACCTAGAACATTTACGACTTACTACTAGTACTAGTAATCTCCAGTCAGGACATCTGTACGGAGGTTACCGACTGATCTACCAGCTAGAACCTGAAGTAGTAGGAGTAAGTATACCACGAAATACGCTCTAGGTACATTTCCCTTAGTTCGTACTCAGTAGGTAAGTACTGCACAAACCTACTACATCCATGCATTGGGTATTACTATATCTACTACTTTGCTACTTACTTTCCCTTCCATAACCTACTGCAACCACTGCCACTACTATACTTACTACTACTGCCTTCTCCGCCCAGTTTTGTCCGTGAACTGACGTACCTCCCGACGTACCTTACCCTTTTACCTCCCAACTCCTAGTCGTTGTTTCCTTCTCCAATTGATTCTCTTCCTTCCCTGATTGTCCCTGTGCCGGTGGCCTGGCCTGTCCCTTTTTTAAACTCCACGCTTTACCCACCCGCCGCACTTTCCTCCCACCCCTCCCCATAAGACGACCCGCCTCTCCATTTTTCCGTTCTTTTCCCCCCTTGTACAGAAAAAGATCAGACTCCAAGCCTGCTGCAGGTGTCTGGTATGCGCTACTACTCTGGGAACCTTTCCGAACTACGAGTGTGAAGGAGATTTGCTCCCGAGGATCTTCGCTTTCCATCCACTCCAGTTGATGCATGCGAGCGCCTCAGCTTCCGTAATCGCACCATCTCCCTCGTCTATCCTCCGTTCAAGCTCGAACATGCGTCTGCCTACCTTGTCTTGGCCTTAAGCTGTCCGTCGTTACTGGACATTCCTTTTATTTGCTTTTTTCACCCGTCTATCGATTCCCAAATCACCCGATCTCGGTCTTTATAACCCTCTATAGTGCGCCGATAGACTGTCCTCGTCGGGCACTGACTTCGGTGCAACCATCACCACCACTCACGAACAATTGTGATATCACTATCCCTCCTAGTCTCTCATCCTCCGCATACAGCCTCCACGCTTAGGGCTCGCTCGCCAGACATGGACACAGAGAGCAGCCATGCGCAGGAACATGACTTTGCGCAGACTTCCTGGCTTGATATAGGTGGATTCAGTCCCTCCGAGCAATCTCCAACGCTGGACTACCAAGCTTTTGGATATGGAGTCGTACCACTAGACCCATCCTATAGCGTCGATATCCCTCCACCTTATGAGGGATTGCCAATAGCCATGCCTCCACCCCCGAGTTCCTGGCCTAGTATGCTTTCAAACCAAGGGCCATTCCCGGAACCGGGCATGTCAGCTGTACCCTTGATGCAGGCACCACCCACACTTGCCCCGGTGCCAACTATTCCAGCAGTTCCTCGCAAGGCATCCATTAGCAAGGCATCTACTGGCAAGTCGACGACCGGCAAATCATCATCCGGCAAGTCATCCAGTGGAAAGTCGAATAGCAACCCAACGCCTCGCAGGACTCTGACGGATGAAGACCGTCGGCGGATGTGTCTTTATCATGAAGAGAATAAGACAGCCAAGCAAACAGACATTGGAGGTAAAGTGTTCTCTGATCCTACTGAGGGAAGATTCTTTAGACTAACTAGTGCAATTTGCAGCATTATTTGGAGTCGAAAGAAGGTAAAGTCACCCTTAGAGGATCCCACTCGCTGAAAATATCGTCTAACTGGCATGATTAAAGTACTGTCTCAAAGGTCCTGCGGCAGAAGGATAAGTACCTCAATCCAGACGATGGCAGTCGATCTCCCATCAAGCGTGCCAAAGGAAGAGTCCCAGACATTGAAAAGGCTTTGTCTAATTGGGCGCGGAACTACCAGAAACAGGGCTACCCGTTGAACGATGAGATGATACGTGAGAAGGCCCTTTTCTTTGCTAGTACCTGTGGCAGTTCAGACGGCAAGGAGAAGGTGCTAAGTACCAGTTGGTTGGAGAAATTCAAACGCAAGTATAATTTGATGGGTGCAAGGAATCGCAAGGGCTCCTGGGCCAGCACAAAGAGCGAATCGGATAGCCCTACTTGTTTGAGCATTGATTCAGCACTGGCGTCCGCGGTCCAGTCGCCCACCTTACTCTCGCCTACATCCCCCACAGGCTTCCTATCACCATTGCCGCTATCACCCGTCCAGAGCAATGAGAACATCAGGGGCGAGCTTGTCCAGAGTCTTGCAGAGATTGCAAGTGACTATCAGCACACGCATACCAAGAGTACAACCTCGCTGGACACAACATGCTCTTTCTCTGCCGGGGTTACCAGCCCGACATCCACTTTCGTAACCGAAAGTCCATTTACTCCTACTAGCCAGTCCCTTGGTTCATCCGCGGATGGCAATCCCACCAGACCACGCAGCCAAACATTTCCACTCAGTTCGTCCGACCCGAACCTTTTGTGCCCTGATGAAAACTCCGAGCATTTGACAAAAGCCGCACTACGACAGTCACTCTCAATCTCAGAACATCAACCTCCCCTTGAGGAACATCACGACCAGAAATTCCTCCCAGCACTTGATACGTCTGCGAATACAATCAAACGCAATCGGAGCAACCCGGAATTCAAAGCCAAGTCCATATATCCACCATTGTTCTCGAAGTCCAACACTGTGTCTCCGGTTAGCTCCCCGGGCTCGCCAACCCAGGATGAAGCTAGGAGAGCACTAGAGCTCGTGATGAATTATTTCAAACAACAGCCGTCAGGTCTTGGGGCAGATGATTACATGACAATTGGGAAGTTGATGGAAAGGCTTGAGCTCGCCAAGGCGCAGCAAGTGACCCTTCCAGGGGGTCTCACTCGAATTGACGAACATGACGATTCACCTCAATTGAACAGGAAGAGAAGCATCCACAGCCTTGGCTAGACAGTCCTGGCTTGCCGGTGATCTCCCGAACCATGGCATCATAAAATGTAGCGACTACATGTGATCACTACCTTTGGCATATTATCCTAATTTTTCTTCGGTGTTTCTCTATTGCTCTTTTCATTATACCACATATGATTTATCTTTACCGGGCGGTCTTCTGCTTTAACATTGCATTTTTATGCCAGATCGAACAATTTTGTGACAGTCAGTGGCTCTGCGATACGGCCGAGGCCCTGAGAAAAATCTCTTTTGTTGATGATACACCGCGCGAGGGCAACCTCAAATATCCGGTCTAAAGGGAAGGGAATCCAGGTGCTTGGTCCTGTTCGCAGGAACTTTTGGTGTTGAGAGGAGTGTCGCTTTGGAATACAGCCTTGGGATTTGTCTTTTTACTATTTGGCTCATATACTTCTGTCTCGAGATGAGCATATTATCCAGAACTTACCCGCTCGCGCGGATTTGCCTGCATCTGCATTTGTGTCACTATTCTGTACCTGTCCTTCCTTGTTTTCCTCTGTTCATTGAACATCGTTTGAAATCCTGGTGCATTAACCTGATGTGCGTTGATAGGGCTGCCAGCCGGGGTAAACTTAACTGGCAAACAACCTGGAGGACCCGTGATCATACGGTATCCAGACTAATTGTGGCTTTTCTTTTTTTTCTTTTCCCTCTTTACTTCTCTTCTTTCTTATTTGTCGTTGCTTTAGTGATTAATATTTTTTCACACCGCATTCTGCGCTATTCCCACCAACTAATATCTTGTTTGATCCTCCCCCCCGGTCCTTTATGCGCTGTCTCTGGGGAGATGAGCTGGTCTGATTCGACAGATAAGGCACCCATCCATAAGGGACCCTGTCAGGTCCTTCTTCGGCCTGCCAGCAACCGGGGCTTTCCCCCTCCCCACGACTAGCACGCCTAGATCGGGAGGCCTTCTCATTCGTTGACTCTTCTGCAGGTTTGCCTCGTTTCTTTTTTGACGTTCGGCCCAGGCAAGATGACATTTTTGTACCATCCGGGTACTTTGTCTGTCTGTCTGTTCATGCCGGCATGTGTTTGTAACCATTACGTATCATACTACTACTACCTATCTACTATGCTGTCGCTCTTTTTGGCCATTGGTGTATTGCTACTACTACTACTACTACGTGACTGTCTTGGATTCATGCCATTGGCGGGTGGGGTCGAGAAAAGAAAAAGACATCTTTGCAACGCCTTTATTCTGGGGCATGCATGAGAGTTGAGCTAAGGGAAATGTTTACTTCCACTTAGTTTGGGCCCACATTTTTCTGGTGACACGCCCTAGTTGCCACCAGAAGCCACCACAGCTTGGGCACGTGGTGATGGAGGGTTACATACCGCTTATATGAGTGGCTTGAGCACTACTTGTCTACGGGATTTCAGCAAGAACTGAACCCTGAAAGAAGGGTTATTATGCGATATTGGTATCATTAACATTACTATCCTAGGGGAAGGGAATATCTCGATGTAGCGCTCCGCGTACACTGTACGCCGTCTATGAGCCCGTATGGGTAGGCGGAGTCAAGTTAGATGCCAGGGGTACCCCCCTGTCCTCCATTAGCTCGGCGATGCTGCGCTCAGACAACTCCGGAAGGAGCTTTGTGAGAATGGCTTCTATGATGGAATATATTAAATGCTTGTTGCAATAATCATCGGCAAAGAGGTCGAGAACCTCCTCAACGGCAGCGAGTAGGAGTGACTCCTCGTGGCCGCAATCTGCAGGTGAGACCGTGGATGACGCCTGGGGAGAGTCGAGCCAGGGCGATTCAGGCTCGTCGGAGCTATTCAGTCGCCCTGGGCGTCGGGACGGCGGGTTATGCTCGATAGGAACAGACGGGACACCGAAGAAACGACGTGCGATTGGGCGAGGAAGCCGGGAGAGAATGCTGGCCGCACAGCGTCGCTTGATAGAAGCGACGTCGGGCGTGGAAGGCCGCGGATCCGGCGATAAGGGCGCTGTCGCGGAGACACCAGACGAGGAAACGCTACTGCAAGCGTCACTTGCGCCAGCGGCGTCGTTAACAGACCCTTTCACTATAGGAGATGCTGGAGGCTGCACGGACAGCTGCGGCGCCGAAGCCGCGGCGCGACCATCTGCCGCTGTGGACGCTGGTCGGGCGTTCAAAGGAAAGAGCGCGGCCCTAGTCGCAAGAAGCAGGTTTGGAAAAAGGGCGGGGGTAAGGACATGATCGCGGATTGTCTCGTGAAGGAACCTAGTGGAGAAAAGAAAAACGTAAGAAAAAAGAAAAAAATGATTTTTTGAACAATGAAAATGAAGTGGAAAAACGATAATTAGGTTCAAGGTAAGGCAATCATCCCGAAGGGGAAACAGAAGGAGTCAACAGTCGAATCACACGGGGAGGTCCGCGATAGCCCCGAGGTAACAGTTGACACTTGACAGAATCTCAGACTGTGGAGAAGCGGTTTGCCCCATCAGGATAGTAATGACGGCCACACTCCGATAAAGTGAGCAAGTCCAGTAGCACTAGCAGAGGGATCTGCTTGGCTAAGGGGGGCAGTACAGGAGCTTGGGCCAGCCATTGGTGCGAATGGAGATGCTGCCAGTGGTGAAGATGACGACAAGGTCGCGGACTGAGAGCATAAGCGCCTCGGATTCGTTCATCCGTCCAGCAACAGAGCAGAGAAAGATGACGATTCAGGCGTTGTTCGGGGGAAACCCAACCTGGGCGCCCTCCGGAAGCGTGTCTGAACGCACCATAGGGCCCCGGCGAGTCATGGCCGGGATTCCATCTCAGAAAGAAAAAGAATATGGGGGCGAACTAGGTGATTGATTGGCTTGAAAATGAAGAACAGGACGAGATTCCGCCCTATCCATGCAATTCCCCAAGTCATAAAACCGTTTCGCTCAACCAATAGGTGCCTGATCGTCATGATTCATTTTGAAGGCCCATTAGCGTCGGTCCGTGGGCCAGGACCTCGACTACGCCCATTTCCAGGGGCAGGGATAGGCGGTCTTCGCTCAATTTAACTTCGAAGGAGGTGGTCGACTAGCCGGTAGTGCGAAAATTGCTTTTTTCGTTGCGGTTCCCACCCTCTGAATCTTTGTGCGATCGATGCCGCGATCATTGTTTGACTGCCCCTCCGACCAGGTTGTGCACGGCACAAAAAAAGAGAGCTGGAGCTGGACGGGACGGAAGGGCCGGGCCAGCCCACGGCCCAAATTGTCAGACCCATTGACAGACGGCAGCAGACTTGCAGACCAAACCAGGTCCAACGGAAGAGCAATTTAGAAAGTAAGTAGCAGTTCGGTATGTCCGAAGACACCCCAGTCCCGGATGGCATGACCAGAGGATGTCAAAGCTCCTCCTTTCTTCCCCCGGGGGGGAGGAGGAAGAGGGGGCACAGCCAGCCAGCCAGCCAGCCCGCCCGTCCAACATGCTAGCTAGCAGTTTAATCAACTGGAAATTTGATGTCTGCAGAACTGGCAAGCCAGACGAGAGTCCGGTGTCACGTAACGGACGGTACCCGTCTGGTATGAAAACAGTACGCGCCGGTCACAGTCGGTAATGACGAGACGGCCAGGGGCTGGACAAATGAGAGTCGAGAAGACGAGGGCGGGCGGGGGCTGCCATCCACCAGGCGATCAAGTGATCGTTGCAGCATGCGCGCAATGCGCATCCCACCTGCATACTCCTGCTGGCCCGCCGTCTTTACTCCAATGGCTTGCTTCTCGACCACTGCGCACCATCATCCTCTCTGACCATCACTCTCGCAAACACACCGGTCGCCGCCGCCTGTGTAGATCATGGTTCGGAGATCCAACCGTACCGATTCTCCACAGTTGGGAGACCACATGCCCCTTAGGGTCGCGCCGTCTCGCGCTTCGAAACACCCATCTGAATCCAACGGCCATCCGTGGCCTGTAGGAGATTGCTTGCGAGAAATGATGGAGGGGGGTAGGGTTTGGGAAATTTCAAATCGGGATGTGCGACTCACCTATCAAGAACACTATCCGTATCACCCAATTTACCTGGACCGGCCAGGATCAGATACTGGATCAGTGCGAGCATTCCACACAGCCAAGGCATCCGCTGCGGCACATCCATCACTTGCGAGACCATGCCATACAATCGGTAGTCCAGCACCGGGCGCTTCTTGGAGGTTGCGCACGAGGGGGGTCCGTCCGCGTTGCTGGTTGGAGGGCATGGTGTCAGGGACGCAGTAACCGGAGGAGCGGATGCAACGCGAAACAGGCCGATCACAATGAAACGTAAAGTCACGTAGATCATGTAGGCATATTGTAGCGCTTGCCAGATCCAGTCGGGAACTGGCACTTGAACTTGAGACGACGAATGACCTTCCGTGAACGCTTCTTGAGAGAGAAGACCGTACTTGTGAAGTCTGGATCGCTGACGCATCGTTGCAGTCGCTGCATCCTCCTCCTGTTCATTGCGCCCTACTCTGTCCACCACCTTCGTGATACTGTCCCACAAGAACCATCCTTCGCTGATTTTCCCGGCCACTGCGTTGCCCAGCACAAGATCTGCCAGGATGTCGCCGAGCAGAGTCCGCAGAGAAGCATTTTCCAGGTCCTCCGTGGGAAGTAGCACCGCTAACATGCCGTGAACCAATAGTTGTCGATAGATTGATTCATTTTCTCTTTGCTGCGCAACAGCTTGAGCGTCTGATGGGTCGGGAATCGGTGAGAGGCCTGGATGCGGATTCAGAGCATGATAAAGCTCGCGGAGCGGAGGAGATATCGAAGACTGTTCTGATTGTTGCTTCGCTAGTCTATATGCTATAGACAACCAAGGCCGCGGTCAGCTCATGTACCCCTCCTTACGTCGGACAAAACGCAAGGTCTTACATGTAATGTGCCTCTCAACGAGAGCAGGAATCTCATCAAGAAACAGCTGCGCAACATCGGCCTCGCGCAACCTCTGCTCAAGAGCGCGGGTGCAGTGTGCAATGACCTGAAGGAGTTCGTTCACGAGCACCTGATCCGATGTGATCTTTGAGTACCAAGTGTACACAAACTCCTTGACGATGATGGCAATCAGCGCATAAAGCTGACGATCTACCTCATTCGAGCTCGTAAGTGGAGGCAGCAGATCTTCCGGAGGCTGAGGAGTAGTGGCACCCCCATGGTTACCAGCTTGGGGACATAGGACGCGTCGAATTAGAGCAATCGTCGCCTTGTCGCTCGTCGCATTAACTGGATCCTCTCGACTGGCATGTTTGACTGGCTGCGGGCGCGTCGGAGTTTGGGCAAAAGACTGCAGAGTTGAAGACGAAGGCACAGCCGTCGACTTCGAGCTGGAGGTCGTTGGGCCAGCTTTGAGATGCGACAGCGGATGGAGGCCCGGGCGGAGAGGGTCGCTGGTCATCTCATCGCAGGAAAGCAGGCAGAACGGGAGCAAAAAGAGTAGACCGTTATGATACCTAGTATGTACAGAGCAGATATAAGGAATCAAGCAGTCGGAGAGAAAGGCGCTCCCGGTGAGAATGCCATCAGGCAGGGGAAGCAAGAGCAGCAAGCCGCGGCAACTGCGACGGACTTGGAGGGATGACGCTCTGTCCCTACCGTATCGGGAATGTAGGGCTTAGGGCTGATATAGACCCGTGCCCGCCGATAAGGCTTATCGGCACGGGGTTTTCTTATCTGTCTGCAATCCCCGCAATTGCTTTTCGCTGTCATCTCGGCGTCCCCTCTTTCTCCCTTTTTTTTTTTTTTTCTTTATATCTTTTGGTAGCGCTATACAATGGCTTCCTCAGTGGACACGCCGATCCCCCTGTGGCTGGACTGTGATCCGGGTAGGTACTTCTTTTCCATCCAAGTGTAGCTACGCTAACAAGCCTCCAGGCCACGATGTGAGTATAATTTATGACTCAGAGAAAATCAACACATGGTATACAAGGTTAACCACTCAAGAGTTTTGGCCCATATATAGGATGCTTTCGCCATTCTCCTTGCTGCACACCATCCCTCGCTGAAGCTTCTCGGTATTACCACCATTCACGGCAATGCCTCCCTGGAGAATACCACTATCAATGCCACTCGGGTCTTGGAGGCCATCGGCCGGCCAGAGATCCCCGTGTACCCCGGAAGCAAGAAGCCCTTCTGCAGACCCGCTCTCCATGCGCCCAATATCCACGGTAAGCATTGCGCATGAATGTTCTTTCACTAAAGCAGAAGCCCGTGAGAATAACCTTTGCGAAATATAGGTGACTCTGGTCTGGACGGTACCGACCTCCTGCCCAAGGCCTCAACGGCCCCGATCACAGACAAGAACCCCATTCTGGCCATGCGGGATGCCCTCATGGCGCACCCCAAGGGTACACCATGGGTTGTTGCAACCGGCACACTGACCAACGTTGCCCTGTTGTTCGCGACTTTCCCCGAGGTTGCGGAGCACATTGCCGGTCTGACCATCATGGGTGGAGGTGTTGGTGAAGGATTCACCGACGCTCCCATGAGCAGACTCGAGGGACAAGAAAACAGAATTGGCAACGTCACGCCCCTTGCTGAGTTCAACATCTACGTATGTCCCCTATGCTACTATATCCCAAAGCCACCCTCTCTTAGGAGACCGACCTCCTGTAACTACCATTACTAACACCATATAAAACCAGTGTGACCCCGAAGCCTCCCAAGCCATCTTCAGCGACCCAGTCGTTGCATCTAAGACCACCCTGATCACACTCGACCTCACCCACCAAGTCCTTGCCGACCAGAGCGTCCGGAACCTCGTCCGCCACGGCGTGGACGATGCCTCCGTCGAGCCCACCACCCTGCGTCAGATGCTATACGAGCTCCTGATCTTCTTCGCCAATACTTATGAAACCGTCTTCGGTCTTTCCACTGGTCCTCCCCTGCACGACCCCCTTGCTGTGGCGGTCATCCTGTCGACATTGAACCCTGCCTACGCGAAGAGCCACCCCGGCCAGGTCCTGAAGTTCGACGACCGCGGCGGAGAGCGCTTCTCCGTCAACGTTATCACGGACGGACTCCATGGAACTGACATTGCGCTGGTGGGCTCGCTGGGTCGGTCTGTGGTTGAGGCGAACCCTAACGCGGTTTGCATTCCCCGTGGTGTGGATCTGGATGCGTTCTGGAATATGATCAATGACTGCATCAAGCGGGCGGATCAGTGCAATGCGGCAAGGAAGGCCTAATGATGTTTCTGCGGCAGATGTATGCAGGACTTCACTTCTTTCAGAGGCGATATTTGATATTAAAATATTGAGAAAAGCTTCTCAACGAATAGTACATAGATTTATTAGATAGAAGAAATACTGCATAGCCCGTTTCATCATGCTGTCGTATAGGTCAATACTATCTATTCACGCTATGCTAGATACACTAAAGAACTTTGAAGAAGCTACCATTCGCGGATGCCCCCATCAGGGCCAAAGAATTCCTTAGGTGCCCAGGGTTCAGAATTTACCGCCAACTGCCTGACCAGCTTCTCATTCACGTCGATTCCCAATCCCGGCGCCGTCAGAGCATCCACGTATCCATCCTTGACGGAGAATACGCTAGGATCCTTGACATAGCTAGTAATATCATATTCGCCCGCTTCCGTATTATAGTGCATCCCCAAACTCATCTCCTGGATGACAAAGTTGGGAGTCGCCAAATCCACCTGCATACACGCCGCCAAAGCGATCGATCCCAGGGGACAATGCGGGGCAATTGCAACATCATACGTTTCAGCCATGGAAGCTATGCGTCGTAGCTCGGAGATACCCCCGCAGTGAGCGATATCGGGCTGGAGGATGTCCACACTCGCGTCTTCCAGGAAGCGTTTCACGTCCCAGCGGCTATAGAGGCGTTCACCGAGGGCGATGGGGCAAGACACTTGATCCGATAGCTGCTTGATGGCTTCGGGGTGTTCAGAGAGGAGCGGCTCCTCCAGGAAAAGAGGGCGGTGCGGCTCCAGGGCTTTGGCGAGCTGTTTGGCCATTGGTTTGTGGAGGCGGCCGTGGAAGTCGAGGGCTGCGTCTAAGCCCAGTGCTTTGACGGTTTTCAACCGTTCAACGGAGGAGTCCAACGCACGAGGGGAATCGAGCCAGTTGATGTCCTCGGTGGCATTCATCTTGATGGCTTTGAAGCCTTGCGCGAGACGAGCTTTCCCGGCTGCTTCAACATCGGAGGGCCGGTCTCCTCCGATCCATGCGTAGACGGACAGTTTGTTCCGGACTTTGCCTCCGAGGAGCTGGTAGATGGGGACGCCAAGGCGACGGCCCTTCAGATCCCAGAGTGCGATGTCAATTCCTGAAATGGCGGACATGAAGACCGGGCCTCCGCGGTAGAAACCCAGACGCCAGGCCATTTGCCATATGTGTTCGATGTCACTGGTCACTCAAGATTAGTTGCATGCTTGCCCAGCAGGGAGGGTGGATATGTACTCGGCTTCGTAACCTTGGAACCGCTTGCAGAGAGCATTTAATGTGCCTTCGACGGCCTCGGTATGACCTTCTAGAGTACTTTCGCCCCAACCGCATTGGCCATCTTCATCGACAATCTTGACGAAGAGCCAACGGGGAGGGACGCGGAAGTACTCGATGGACTTGATCTTGACCATGCTGGCGAGTGACTATATTTGCTGGTTGATGATGGGTCGATCTGCTGGTAAGCTGGCAGGATACATAGCGTAAAGTTGACGCGATGAGACAATATGCGATATTTATTTATGATCGTGAAGGGAAATCGGAGTTGCTCCGTCTACCAGGCCGAATTACCGACATGGCTCCATCACGGAGAGTATGGATAGATGGGTCTCGCGATGGTGCAACTTGGCGACACGGCATCCGATCGACCAAGACCAGACCATGCAGGATGCCCAGGAATGGGATGAGATTGGCTTTGGCATGAAACGCACCGTTAAAGCCATAGTGGACTCGGCTTATAGACGGACGCTGTCATCCTGCATTAGTTCACATAATTCCGGGGTGCGTGAGGTATTCAAGAGTGGAGTTCGACGAGAATCCCTTGCATGTTTCGCGAAGATGGATGAGACGGCTGTGCAGGACTTCCCCTTTGGTTGGAAATAAAGTGCGTGGCGTGATGATTGTTGTACATAGATATCTAAATGGTCTAGTGGAGTATAACTACTATGGGGCACATCCGGGGTTCTGTCCAGGCACAGAACCCAACGTCGGAGGATGGAGGGGGTGAGCCCCGTTGTGTATGAGGAATGTTTAACATGTCAAAGACAAATATGCAGCGATGGAGAAATTCAGCAAGTACAAGGAAGGCATAAAGTCTCCCGAAAAGATTGTAAGAGAAAGTAAAGGAAGAAGTTCAAACGAGAAGTCGGCGAGGGGTGCCCGATTAGGCAATCCAGTGACTCGGCGGCTTTTGGATTTGCTTCCTGCAAGTCAAAAACCTCCATCTTCTTCCTCACATTCTGCTGCTTCGGCATCGCCGCTCGTCGTTCACACCCTTCCAACGGTCGGGAATTTATGTTTCACTCGCTCCAGCTCCTTGGTTTGAGCTGCTACTTGAAAGGGGATTTTGTCTCTCCTTGAACCGCCTCCTGGTGGATGCGATCTCCCATCATCCATCTTCCTCCCTGGCGGACTGCCTCTCCGCCGCCACTCGATCTACACCTCTTGCTTTCACTCAGATCATGCCCCCCGTCAACTCGCCATCGGTAAGTTGTCACTACTCGCTCTGGCCCTCCATTTATGTCGATTGTTCCTGCGTATCCCGTACCTCGGGACGGTCGCCACTATGACTCTGCGCAGACCGTGGAATTGAGGTACCAAGCCGATGTTGTGACGTGCCTTGCCTTCTCGGTTGATGCCATCGACAGAAGAGTTTCGTTTCCACTCTAACCTTCTCTCCTTTTATCACAGGATCCCCCCGCTCAGTCGTCTTCTGCTTCTTCCTTTCGGCCTTTAACCGCGCTCTCCTTGCCTGTTCCCTCGCTCCCCGCAGCCGTGTCCGATGACGCTCATGATGATAACGTGAGCTTTCTCCGATCTCGTGTGCGCTCCCCACCAGACTCGACTTCTTCACTTAGTCGCCAGCGCCGTCGTCGACAGCAAATCGCGTCTGATTTCGATCTAGAGCCCATGGAGCTGGATGATCCGTCCCACTTGCGCATCGAAATTAACCGCCGCATCCCCATCGTGCGCCGTCAACGCGACGCCTCCGGCAACCCCAACTTGACCAATCTCCCCAACTACGAAGGTCAGATGTCGAATTCCCGCTCAGTATACGGCTGGGCTCCGGCATCCGATGATGATGACGATGATGTAGGCTACGAGCCGCTTCACGACAGTAACACCATCTCATGGTTCGGCCGATTCTCCGATCGCTACGCGGCTGCTCGTCGCCACGCGCGCCGGGATGCCGCTGGTCGAAGTCCCCCAACACTGCCAGACGAACCGTCTGACGGCAGTTCCAATCGCCAAAGCGACCCGGCTCTTTCGACAACAGAGGCTTTCTTACAGTCGGTGCGACGCCAACAGCGGGGTTCACGGACACGCGCGCGGGCGCTTCACGACTATTTATTAGAGCGGGAACGGGCTTCCCAGGATTCGGATGAGAGTCGAGAGCGACCAGGCCCTCCATCAGCCTCACGAGCATATCGCTTCCTTCCCAGCGCCCGGGGCGAGTCGCAACGATATTTGACGCACAACGACTTACGCGCTCGGATAAGCGCTCACCGACAGTTACACATGGACAACCCTCCGAATCCACGGTTGAAGGAGACCATCTTATATCTGGATCGCCTGCGGTATTCAACCTCGTTTGAGGAAAGTCTCACTTCAGCGGCCGCAGGGGGGTTTGTACATACTGATTTCCTCAATGGGAACGAGGATGACTTCATCCTCGATATCAGTTCGATAGCGCCGCCGCCGGAAAGTTCATGGCTTCGTCCGGGTATGGTCTTTTCGGGGTCGCAGCGGGCTGCCAGCAGTGCGAGCTCGCTTTTCGCACAACGAGGGCTCAGCCCGTCGGCATCCCAGGACCCAATGATTGTCAATGGGAGTGACAACAGTCGCATTAGTGTATATACCGCAACAGGACGACGGTACCTGGCCAATAATATTTACCACCTCGGAGGTGGTAAGGACGAGAACTGGCCAGTCAAGGTCACCATACATAGTATCAACCCGGACGATATGACGCTGTCGGGTACCATGGAGGCATACAACATACCGGACAAAACGACGCCGGCGCATGATGCACATATCGTCACATATCTGGAGGGAGAGATAATCGATTTTAACAAACATACGCTCGAAACAAAGAACTTCAAAGCAGATGCGGAGATTGACAGTACATATTGGCGGGAGTTGCAGCCATTCAAGAATCTGAGCGATGAAGAAATGACGCGGAAACTCGTGAGCCGGAAGTGGATAACGGAGCAGTTATCCAAGCAGTGGATACTGATGAGATGGAAGGGTGAGTTCGATTGACAGAGGCTGTAAGGCCATACTAATAAGGCTCTACAGAACGCTGTTTCATCACGCCCACCGACTCCCGACAAGGACTGACGATTTCGGGATTCTACTATATCTCACTAAACCGGCAGACTGGACATATCGAAGGGTTATATTACGACCCGGGCAGCTCGCCATACCAACAGCTGTCACTGAAACCAGAGTCGAAGAAAATGGTGCGTCCCTCGTACGGGTTCCGCTAACCTTAAAAACAGCACGGTACAGCTGTCTGTCACATATGTCATATGTAAACTGCTAATCTTGGGGCCCTGCTTATATTATGGCGTTTGACGGGACAATGTTTGCATAGCCGGGTGTTCTTATACCAGTATCAGCATTCATGTCAAATTGTGCAAATATTACCCAATTACCTTACACAGATCTACACGTTGTGCATCTACACCCAGAAAGAAAAAAAAAGTAGAGTACCATGATCCGTCGATTGCTTGATCCACGCTATCACAAAGTGAAACACCCAAATCGTAGCTAGATACAACAAAACAGGTGGGATAATATGCAGACAGCAAGAGACACGCGCAGCAGCAGCACGCACGCACACCCGAGAGAGAAAAAGCCCAGCAGCCCGTAAAACCAAATTCACAAACCCCGTCCTTTCTCCCCCCCAAAGATATCCCTTGACCACCACTAGACATATAGAATCCCCGCAGACCCTACACCACCGACCGAACCACACCACTCAAGGGGGTAAAAAAAAAAAAGTGTGGAAACCCCTACTACCATCACCCAGACATCACTTCAATATAATGAAATGAGGCGAGCAATTTACTGCTCAGTCTGGAAGTAGTTAAGGAGGACAGAGCGCTCCTGAGACTCCTCACCCCAGTCCTTAACGACGACGCAAGAGCAGTTGACGACCTTGCGGGCGTTACCCTCACGGTCGAGCTGGCCTAGACACAACCATTCGCATTAGCAAACCCATCCACACACAGCACCACCCGTCAGGGTGTAACAAATCTTGTTTCAAGGTACTTACAAAGACCAACCCACTCGCCAAGCATCTTTCCATCAGGGACCTTGATAAGGGGAATCTTGTGCTCGGAGCAAAGAGCCACAACAAGCTTCTTGTAGGCCTCCTCCTCGCAGCCCTCGTTCAGGACACACATGTGAGCCTGACGACGGTCCAGGGCCTTAGCGGCCTCGCGCAGACCACGGGCAAGTCCGTCGTGGATGAGAGAGATACGGAGAACTCCCTTCAGGGCATCCAAGACGGACATCTGGCCACCGGCGCCAGCGTCGGCCGAAACCTCGACCTCATCGGCGGCGACAACGGGGTTGGATTGGGTCTCTTCTCCGTCCGACTATAACATATATCAAGACATTGGTTAGTTAATTGATTGATTCATTGATCGTGGTGGTGTGTTGTTGGTAAGGTAGCTGGTAGCAGAGGGGGGAGGCGCACCATTTTGATGATTGTGTTGTATGACGAGATGTCGGATTATCCTCAAAGAGTCGAGGTAGTTTGTTCTTGTATAGACTAGTAGGTGGTGGTGCTCGGCCTGTGGTGCGCGCAATTTTGGGCTACTTTCTCGCTAAATGTGTGCCCTACGCATTAGTCATGGTCACGTGAGGTGCGATAAGGTTAAGGTTGTTGATATGTCACGTGATCTGTATGTATACTTGCGATACTGCGGTACTACTCAGATAAAAAGAACATCGCTACGAATATCGCTACGAACTTCAAGACTGATTATCCAACGTCTCACATCAGGTATCATAGTCATACATCAAGAATTTCACCTGTACAGGCTAGCGTCAAGCTAAAAGAACGCTGAAGCACAAACAATTAGACGTATGTACTAGGCCGGCTGTGTCCATAGCCGTTAGTCAACCCATTTCCTCCCAAAAGCCCGGGCGCCTCCTCGATCGGCGTCCCAGATATATGTCCATTAGCCTGCGGCAGCTCAAGCACGGGCTGCGGCTTGGGTTCCTGATCAATGTGCATCTTCAGAAACTGTATGTCCAACCCGTGAAGGTGCGGTATGTGGGGAACGAGATCCATGAAATCAGAGAGCTAGATACGTCAGCGCGTGCTCAAGCAATTGGTTTGTCAGGATCAACATACCTTAACCCAAAATACATGTTCCATCTCGAAGTATTTGGGTCGTGCTTCGCAGTCTTTTTGCATGATCTGTTCGAAGGACGAGCTAAGAAACTCCGTCTCTTCCGCTTGAACCAGCATCCTTCGTGTGACACGCCACAAGTTCATGCGTTGCGTAGGTGTTGCATTGCGTTTCTCCCATGTGGCATATTGAGATAACTGAAGATCATTCGTCGCCAGCAATGGTGCGACGAGATAATTCGGAACCCATTTTTCCTCAGCCACCGCCGGTCCGCAGGATGGATCAAGCTGCTTCGTTTCAGCAGTCACCACTGGCATGAATTTCTTGAGCCATGCATGACTCTTCGCCAGTGGATCATTCGAGCCCACGAGATTTGCTGCAGCTCTGAGTCGACTGGGGAGGGCGTCTCGCCGGCGTTGTTCCTGCTCTTCCTGCTCCCTGCGCAGTTTAGCAAGGCGCTGCCTTTCTTGTTCGAGGCGCCTCTGGCGCTCGTCCTCAGCTTGCTTAATCCGCCGTTGCTCCGCCTCGATCCGCTTGCGCTCTTCCTCTGCAGCCTTCTCCTGAGCAATACGAGCCTCGCGCGCTACCCGCTCTTCCTCTTCTACTCGAGCCTTCTCCGCTTCGGCCGCTAAGCGTTCTTCTTCTGCCTGTCGCTCTGCCGCAGCTTTTTCGGCTTCTTTCTGCCGACGCGCTTCAGCTTCGGCTTGGGCTTGGGCTTGGGCTTGGGCTTGAGCTTGAGCTTGAGCTTGGGCTTGGGCTTGGGCTTGGGCTTGAGCTTGAGCTTGAGCTTGAGCTTGAGCTTCGGCTTCAGCCTTGGCTTTGGCTTCCGCCTTAGCCTTAACTTCCGCCTTAGCTTTAGCTTCAGCTTTGGCTTTAACTTCAGCTTCCGCGGTGCTTGTTGAGTCCTCCATGGGAATATCTTCTAATCCTTGAGTCTCGACCTTTTCCTGCTCCTCCTTCACGGGGTTCTTCTCTGCTGCCCTCGAGGGAACGTCAGGTTCCCTCGATCGTTCCCGTTTGGGCTCTACGGCCTGAGTGTCATCCCTATGACGGGCAGGAGTCTTGAGATCTTCCGAGGTTGGATGGCTCTTCTTCACACCTCCGTTGGTAATGTTAGGTGTACCATCCTCCGACAGCACACGTCGTTTCTTCTTCTGGGTATCGCGCGGGTGCCGTTCGGCATCGGTATCACGGGATCGCGGTCGATCGGGACTAACACTGCTGCGTCCGCGTTTCAAATGCGGCGGTCCAGGTCTGGAAGTAGCGGATTCGGAAGGATCGGGGCGCGTCTTGGTATTCTCATCTCTCCCCGAGATGGATTCGGGCGGGGGTAAACTAGGGACTCTCCTATCACGGTCTGGGGGCCGTCCGGCAATTAAGCGTCTCCTCTTGGGCGCTTCATCGCCACGACTGGATTCGCCGTCCCTCGCAGAAGATCCCTTGAACCGAGCCGGTTCCGAACGCGACGCGTCCTGGTCGCCTGCTCCAACATGGGCAACCTTCGGACGAGGTGCACTAGATTTCTCCTTTCCATGAGCCATAGCTTCTCTCCGGCGCTCCTTCGAAAGTGCATCTTTAGACGAATCTCGACGGCCAGGGCTCGCCATTGCTTTCCTAGGCCGACCTCCCGGTGACGGTGACTCTCTGCGGCCGGTTCGCTTGCCTTCCTTCTCCCTTTCACGCACTCGTCGCGGAGATGAGAATTCGGCTTTGCGCTGCTTCTTTGTCCGGATATAGTCGTCGTATGCATCACGCAGAAGATCGTATTCTTCCTCCCAATTATCAGCCCTACGCTCCCGAGACAATTCGAAGTAGGTACGGTCCTTGTGGAGACGGCGAGTCGGATTGAAACTTGGTTGAGCAAGGAGCAGTTTGATCACGGGAAGGTTGCCTCGGCCAATCGCTGCCAACATAGGGGTGTTGTATCCCGGCTTTTGAGAGCCGCCCGGTACAGGATCTGGATCCGGATCTGCATCGCCCATGCCAAGTAGAAGGGACAACACTTCATCGTGACCACCTTTGGCTGCGGCGATCATAGACTCAGGATCCGCCCTTTGCCCGACATTAAGAATGTTGGCTACTCCAGCGATATCGCCCTTGGCAGCGAATGCTTGTAGATTCTCTGGTGTAGCCTTGGTCCACAGTAGATCATTCCGAGTAGCCTCGCTCCTGACACTCTTCCTTTTGCTCGTGATACCAGCATAAGGCGGACTTCGTTGTCCACTGACCGGTGGCGATTCACGCGGACTATTGATCGCAACCCGACGGGAGGACGTTTCCCTATTCCCAGATCCTGTTTGTTCTTCTGAGCGACGACTCGGGCGTGGGTTCGCCTTTGCTTCCTCAATCACGCGCCGGATCTCGTCGTACTCCTCCGAGTCTGAAGGAATCAAATCGCTGGGCTCGTCGCCTTCAGCATTGACTGCGCGGGGATTTGCACCGGCCTGAAGCAAGAGCTTGACAACATCAAGATGCCCGTTCTCAACGGCATCTATCAGCGGCGTGTCCCTGTCGATGTTCCTGGTCTCGACCTCACAGCCAGCCTCTAGCAAGAACTTGACAATGGACGCACAACCTTCCAGGGCAGCAATCTGTAGTGGTGTATTTCCCGCATTATCAGCAACATTGAGATCCTCCGGTCGTTCGGCATGTCGAGCCATGGCTACCTCCAACTCCTGGGCGGCACAGGCACGTGCAAGTCGCGTCCGGCCATTTTGATCTCGCTGTTTCTTGTGCCCCATAGGCCGTGCGGGAGACGCTGAAGCACCATCCACAGACGCAACCTTCCGTACATAGGCACTGGGCAAGGGAGACCCGCTGGTAGATGAGGAGACGGACTGTCTGTCTTCGGAACTCTGTCTGGGCACCCCAGAGATGAGCGGGGTGGGTGCCTTCCTCTTTCGTTGCAGATCGCTGCTGAGCTGAGGGCCGGATGCTGTCCGCTTATGAGAACGAACCGGTGAGACAGATCGATCGTTCGGTGTTGGGCGAGGGAGAGAAATCCCGTTCAAATCTCGTCGCTCCCGGTCGCGAGGGGCTGCCGAGTGATGTTGACGTGCATTTCGACGAGCATCCGCCTCCGCGTCGACACTCTCGCTGAAGCTGCGCTTCCTTGACGTTCTGGGGGCGGATGTGATCGGATGGGACGATTCGACTCGACTGGGCACCGTCTGGGGTTCCTCGGTCTTCTCAATCTTAACTATGGGGGCAGGTGGCGAGCCAGCCCTCCGCTGAGGGCTGGCCGGGCGCACCGGACGGTCGCGTTCACTGGGCACATCATCATCATCGTCCGCCGATTTCCGCTTTCTCACTTGCAAATCATTAGGAGGAAGATCGCTCTCTGCGGCATCAGCATGGTCATTTGCATCATCACGTCGTTTCGGTTCATGTTTTATGAACTTCCGTCTCTTCTCAGGCGACAGAGATTCGCGGCCCGATTGAATTATGGTTTCTGCCTCCGAGTCAGCCTTGGGGCTCGGTGGCCCATCGCCGTCCCCGACAGCAGGATCTACCTCTTTAGCGGGAGCATCCACTTCCTGAGCAACCGGGGGAGTGGTCCTCTTGGAAGGTGGATGACCCAAGGTAGACTGGTGGTTCACCTTGACAGCAAAAGCGCTTTGTCCGGCATCCAGGGAAGCTGGCAGGGAGGAGACAGCCTCAACATCACTCATAGCGGTAGCACTCGATTTCTGGGGGTTCTGCTCGTCATTTTCGGGGGCCGTGGCGGACTTGAAGACCCGTGGTCAGATACACCAGCAGTTGCGCGCGGAAGCTGGTGCTCGACCACGCTGAACGTAAATGAGAAGTGACAGCTTATTTCCTTTCACCGGACGAAAAGAAAGGTCGGGGTGGTAGAGAGCGAGAGCGAAAAGGGTGAACAGCCGGGTCGATTGAACAGTGGCGAGAGGGGCCAGAAAGAGGTCCAAGGTTGGTGGTGAAGTCAAGAGAGAGGGTAGCGACAGGATAGCAAGTAGTAGGGAATTCGGTCGGGAGGTGTAAAGAGGAGTCGAAGTAGTAATTAATCGGACAAGATGAAGGAGAAGGAGGGGGAGGGAGGGGAGGAAGAAGAGGGGAAGAAAATAAGAGTTAAGAAACTAAGCGGATGGTTTGGATGGGAGAGTTGGAAGGGGGGAAGAAGAAGTAAGTAAGTCGAGAGGACAGAAATAGTGGAAGAAAGAAAAGATGAAAGAAGATGGGAGAAGTTGAAACGGCCGACGGGCACTGGGATGGGCGAAATTACCAGGTAATGGCGGTCCCGTAGTGGAAGTTGGTAGCAGGACCAGGGCGGTAGGAGTAGTTCGCCGTCCGTGAAGTTAGTTGGGTCTTAGTGGATGGTTAGTGAAGATTTCTGGAGGATCCGGAGGGCGAACTAGCAACAAAAAAGGGTAAAAGAAAAAAAAAAAGGGATTCAGAATAATCAGAAGTTGTTATGAAAATAATTGTGACTAAAAAGAAAGAGAAACTGGAGAAATAAGAATACAAATAAGAAAAATAATATGATCCTAAATGACAACAACAGCAGCAGCAGTAGCAGCGACAGTCAGACAACAACAACAATAACAACAGTCAAGACCAAATAATCATAATAATGATGATAACAGTAATAATAGTAGTGCTCCCGTAGTTACTGGACTAATCACGCATTGGGGTGGAAACGACGACCCCGAGGGATGAATGATGATTGCTAGGAGTCATCCGCCGCCGCCGCAGCCAGCAGCAGCAGCAGCAGCAACAGCCAAAGCAGCAGCAAGCAGAAGAAATCAATCGATCGTTAGTTCATCGTTCGAGTCGTCATGGTCATAGTGGTCATAGTTAGTATTCGCCCCGGGAAACTTACCACCGGGGGCCTTGCCATTTGGCCACCGGCGGAGCAAATGCCTTTCGCTAGTTGGTTAGTCATAGATAGTCCCCCAGTCTGACCAAGTACGGTACAGAAATTCAGGGTATTGAAATTCATTTCGTGAAATTGAGGGGTGGGCTGCTGTTGCTGTTGCTGCTGCTGCTTCTTGCTGCTACTGTGGCCTGTGGAAAGTGTGGATTAAATTGAAAATAAATTCGATAAATAGATAGCTGGGGATGTGACAATTCGTGACCCGCCAAGTAAAGTACTTACGTTTATTCGAACCCCATGAAACGGCAAATGATGAGCAGTCATGGAGCAGAAGAGGGCAGGTCTGTGTTGATTATTACCACACTGCCGTTTTCGCAGACTGAATACGGACGCAGACGGGATGTATCTACCCTATAACCAGGTACTAGTTGCAACTATGACACCTTGGAAAGATGGAATGGATGGAGACCAGTTCAGCTACTGCTGACCAGACTGACTTACCTTCCTTGATCCTTACGTACAGCGGGGGGGGGGGGGCAACGCCAGTCACCATCCATCCAATCCCACCTCCGACGGACAAGTCCAGCTGCAGCCGTGATTGAAGCGACCCGACCGACCGGGGGAAAAGCCTGCTCTTTGCCTGCTGGCCTTGTTGGCCTTGCTGGCCGGTTCTGCCTGAGGGTCGAATGCGTCGACTCGCGCGACCCAGATCCAGAAACTCAAAAGATTAGTACACAGTTTTTTAGTTAGTTAGTATCCTGCGAGAAGGCCCAAAAGCGGGCGGGGATGGGCGGTCAAGACCAGTGACTCTGTCGAGGAACGATGTGGCGGAAAAAAAGATCTAACTGATTTTCCCTATTCATCTCTTTTCTTCTTTCTCTCTCGGTTTTCCTCTTCCTTCGCCGGCCGGAGCTGACTGCATAGTAGCCGCCCACTTTTTTTTTTTTTTTTTTTTTTTTTTTTTTTTTTTTTTTTTTTTTTTTTTCATTTTTACTTTTTTTGGTCGGGTCACTCACTCTTGCGTCTGAAACTCGGGCTCTGGAACGGAGGAGACGGAGGGAGGAGGGGGGACCACA